ACACACACACACACACACACACACACACACACACACATACACACACTCTGACAGGGCCGTTGCAATATGCGTCTTTGCTGCCTGTTGCAGCGCTCTAACGCTGCACAGCAAAAACGCATGATAAAAACGGAGAAATCAGAAGCAAAAAACAAAAAACTTGGCAAAGGGAAAGCCTATGTGTGGAAACTGCTTTGTAAAAGTCCGCCTACAGTTTTGTGCCTTCCTATTTATAAAGTTGATGCTCAAGTAAAGCTGAGAGCGCTAAACTTTACTTATGCAGCTTTACTTTATTTGCTTTCAATTTTGCCTAAGCATCATCTTAAATGGGAATGTCCACTGCTAATAATGGGACTTTTCTTTATCTAAAGCTTGTCTTCAACAGTGGGCTTCCATTTTTATGAAACTGATGCTTAGTTCTTAGGTAAAGCTGAGAGTTCTCAGCTTTATCTAAGCATCAGCTTCACCTTATTCGCTTTTGGCTTTACCTAAGCATAAGCTTTATAGATTTAGATGTCTGCTATTGACGGCGGATTTTTCGCTTACTTTTACTTTTTTTTCTTTTTTTAAGTTCGCTTTTTTGATTTTATTCTGCGCCTAGGCCTGCTTTAGTTTAATTTTCTTTTTTTTGTATTGATTTGTTTTCTCATTCTCTTTACTTCTGTTCGCAGTTTCTTTCTCGAGCTCCTGACTTGTATACTCGATCCCTTTCTTTTCTCTGCCCCGAAATTCTCCCTACAAAGCAACATCTGATCTTCTCTCCATCCCTACCATAAAAGCACTTTGGAAGCAAGCAGTTCTTCAGCACTTTCCCTATCCCAACTAATCGTTGCAAAAACTAGGAACACACTTCCCCCTCGCCCCCCGCCTACCCCCTCCCTTTGCACTCTGCTATGTACACTCCTCCCAAGCTCATTGCGTACCCTGCGTATCCGCGGCAAAAACCAGTAATACAGATCCTCCTTCTTTCCGTCCATCACCCCTCCCCTCTCCCGTACGTGGCCACGTCACGTAATCACTCAATCCACCCTACCAACGCTCTCCTCCTATAATTCCCACGCCAAGGACCTGTACACAGAACCTCACTTCTCCACTACCATCCCAACTGCGGTATCCAGCGTTCTTTGCCGCAGCGAAGTAAGGACACCCTAAAAATCATCCGCACATCGTATATGACGCAGGCCGAGCCGAGCCGAACCGAGTTCTAATAATTGTCCCTGTGAACAGAAAAATTCAGTAGTAGATGTATTTCAGTACTGATCAAGAGCTGTGCACATTGACAAAACAGAGTTTCTCTGATGCTTAACATGCACATTAAATTGGGATATATGATGTTTTCTTTTTTTTTTTTTCGAAGAATCCGAAAAATTCTTCCATTCATATTCCCAAAAAGTAACCCATGCTGTTTTACGAAAGTTCCTTGGGTACAATATTTGATCAGATGTGCTCTTAAGAAAATCATGCAAATTTCTTGTTAAATGATACCCATTTACATGCAAAATATTGCTTTTACGAAACGGAATCAAAAGAGTGTTATAAAGTAAACAATTTCAAAATCACTTGGTTTAGATTGTTCAGCAGCAAGAGAGGCAGTCGCGGGCACATACCTGCAAAATTTTTTTCGATCCAGCTCACTATACAGTGCTGGAAAATATTGGAACATTTGATGTGGTAATCGGTCGAGATGGTGGTCCGGAAGGATTAACTGTTATGGTCGATTATTATACCGAAGATGGTACTGCCAATGCTGGAAGCGATTATGTGCCCGTGAGAGGGACGCTTACTTTTTATCCTGACGATAAAATTCAGGTTAGCATTTGCTCCGAGCTAATGGGTATTTAGGAGGTGAAATTCAAAAAACTCTAGAAAACCAGTTTTCTCGTTCCAAATTTCACCCAATCCTGCGATAAAAGAATTTTTGAAACAAAAAGCGCACCTTCAAGATCATCGACACTTTCTGATGACGTTGTCTTCGGCCCTTGCAAAGAACAATGCAGTTTATTTATTAAATTTTCCTCATAGCAGGATTTGGTTCTTGATATGCACTTCTTGCACTTTCAATCGTAAATTCATACCGAGCTTTCAACTCTCAGTGAGTTTGAACCCTTGCCGGTTGACTTTTGTGCACCATCTGTCTTCACCTTTTCCACTGGCCGTAACACATTGAAAAAACAGAGTTTGACCGTAAATAAACTGTTTTGTAGCCCAATTTTAACTGTGTCAGTCCTATTGTGCATAGATAGCAAAAAATAGGCAATTTTCTTCTTTTTTTACGCCGCTGGTACTTGCTCGGCAAAGCTGCTCGAGATTCCTTTCATTCAGAAACTTATTCTCGCTTTATTGTTTCTCATTGTTGAAAAACTGCTTATTCCGGCTTTACAAAATTCAATCGCTGTTGTGTCCAGTGTTTCTAAAAATGAAGGGGAATAGCACGTCTTCCTCTTCTGTTTATCTAGTAATAAAACTTTGTGTAGCAAAAAAATTTGCAGTATTGCGTGAAAGGTTCCAACTGGATGCAGAGATAGTGCTGCTGTTGAGTTGCTTATAGTATGAATTCGGATATGCCCTTGAAAAATTGTTTCTCTTTACGTGGCGTAGTTTGTGATGAAAACAACGCAGATATTTAGGCCTTCAGGCAAGAACTATGCAAGGAAGCTTTTGGAAAGGAGATTGACATTTTGTTCAATTAACGGTCAGCCTAAGTAGTGTGGTTATCAAGACGAATACCAAGAAACAGGAATGCGAGTTGTTGAGTTTAAATTCAAAAACCTTGAAGTTTGAAAGGCGTGCTTACATAAAGGGAAAATTTCCCAAAAACGGATCTTTTGGCAGTGAGCGGAAGAAATAGCGGCACAGTCGCATTGCCAGATGTGTGCCCACGCCTGACGTCAGGAAAAGATGGCAAGAAAGGGACAAAAAGGAAAAAATCTAGGGATTTTAATTAGTAAGCAATAGTTTGTGATCTCGCCGCATTTAAATTATGTAAAGCCTCCGAGGGTGTACTTTTGTTGAAAGAGATTTAGTGAACATTGCTGTCCACTCGCAGTTTTTCACGTTTTATTGTGCTTTTTTTGTCAGAAACGCTACCTAACATTGTCGTAATTGCACTATTTTATGAAATTTTAAAATAAGTTTGCAGAAGGTGAAAATCGAAATCGTAGACGACGATGTATTTGAAGAGGATGAGCATTTCTATCTGCATCTGAATAATCTACGAGTTCGTACGAAGGACGGTTTGGTGCTGGATCCACTACGACTTGGTGGTGTTCCCATTGCTTCACTTGAACTGCCTTCCACCGCTACAATTATGATTCTTGGTACTCATTTTATTCTGATCATTGCTTTTTCACTTGCTAGTGTAGGTTGTTCCTGGACAAGCCAGTTTGAAAAAAGCTTACTTTGAGATTTTCGAAGTGTTTGTTGAGCGTTTCAGTCCTTGTTTGTGACAAAATTGCTTCTATTTTGTCGAAGCTTCCACTGTTGACTTTTGCTGAATCTGTTCAGACCAACTAAGGATATTAGGTGGAAATTTCCGGATCACAGCAGATTGTGAAAGTAAGGAAATGAAAAGTGAGCACTGACTATTCAAAAACACATGGTAAGCACTTTTTTATTCACTAGTTCCGCTGGCGCGCCACGTGCAGTACTCCACTGTGGTTAGAAAAAACGGTATGAATATGGATCCAAACCGGTTTGAAAGATCTTGGCATTCCGTACATTACAAGTCAAAAATGGACTCACTGTCTGCTTCCAATAAAGAAAATGCAACTTTTCCCCTGTTTTTCTTCGCTTCATTTAATTTTAGCGACTTTAGAGCAAATTGCTTTTTATGCGTTTTTGTTTAGCCGCTATAGCGCTGCTACAGCCAGCAAAAACGCATATTGTCGAGAGGCTGTCTGTGTGGGTGTGTGTGTATTCGGAAAGCAAGTGCATTTTGCCATCCACTTTCGACTCGGCAAACAGGAAAGCCGGGAGGCTGAAACTTTGGATATATGTTCCTACTCCGTGTGTCATCCTCCTGTTTTAAGATCTTTCCCCATACGCGCCTAAACCCCGCGCACGGGACTCCCAAAGAAATCTGTTGGTGGGAAACGATTTCGCGAACCAGGCAACTTAGAAAGCTGAAACTTTGCAGGATATTCTTTATGCACGTGCGAGATAAAAGTTTTAAACTCAGCTCACTAGCTCCCCAACCACAGCCTCAAGCAGCTCCTGAACCCAAAAATCGTTAGCAACTGGGACCTGAACCGCAACCGCATATGCAAATAAACATGCATTTTTGGCAACTCGGACCTGAACCGCAATTATA